CCCCCCCCCAACCCCGCCGGCTTCTTTCAATTCTTATCCCCCCCCCCCCCCCCCCCGCCCAATACCAGAGACATGCATAGAAAAGATGACACACTTGGACTTATTTCTAAGAGTTAGGAAACTTCTGAGACCAATCCCTGGGGAAGGGTAATGGGGAGGTGGTAGAGACAGGAGCAGATGGAAATGCCAGCTCAGTGTTCTGGAAACTACCAACCTGGGGCCAACGTGTTTGACTTCTCATCTGACTCTGTCCTCCATTCACTGTGCGACCTTGGGCAAGGCCCCTCCCCTCTCTGGGTCTCAGTTTTCCCATCTATAAAATCAAGGGGGTAGGACTGGAGCATAGCTTCCTTCTCTGTTCTAGGACTCCCTTGGGTCCTGCAGCAGTGTCTTGTGTAGGTGGAGGAAGAAGGGTGGGGAAGGGTGCCCTGAACCCCGTTATCTCCCCCTCCATTCTGAGCTGGTCTGTTCTTTGTCTGTGAATCTGAGAGACCAGGTTTCATTCGAAAAACAAACTCGAGAACGACTGGTGTGGGAACTTTCAGGGCGTCTTCTAGTGTCCATTTAATCATCTGCTGTCTCCTCTTTTTTGGTGGGCTACATACCAGGCACTATGTCAGGGGCCGGGGCAACCAAAACCCCCAGGCAGGATTCCTGACTCCTGAAGGACTTTGTACAATGAGGAAGTCAGACAAGTTCACAGTCCAGCCTGCTAGCCTGCCATGCTTTGCAGTCTACACCGCCCTGAACCCCAGAAAGTGATTCTGCTGGCCTTACCCTGTCTTTTAAAGCCTTAATGAGAGAACCCAGTTTCTTCCTCTCAGCCTGACAGCCTAGAGCTCCATTAGCTTCATATATTTTGGCATTTGATTTATTTAATCTGACACTCAAGCAAACTGTCTTATACTCTAATTGTGTGGAAGAGGGGAGTGTGCAAGGATATGGTGTGATTTAAGAGCTTTGGAGTTGGTCCTGGGATTTGCCACTTCCTAGCTGTGTGACCTTAGGCAAGTTAATTACCCTTTCCGTACCTCAGCTTTCTCATCTGTCAAAATGGGGGTGATGACAGTCCCTACCTCCCAGAATTGTGCTGATTAACTGAGATAATGCATGTGAAGCCCTTTGCATGGTCTTTGGCACATAGAACATGCTCGGACAGTGAGAGCTCCTTTCCTATTATTATTATTATTATTATTATTATTGTTATTGTTATTATTAATATGTAGGGGGTTCTTGTCTCTGTTTCGAGATTAGAAGATCTCTGAGAAGTATGAGCCATGCCTGAATCCATTTGTATGGACTTCAATATGCCTCGCAGTTTGCTAGTACATCCCAGGCACTCAAAAACTGAGTTCTCTTGCATGGAAGAATCAGGACAGTTTCTCTGCAAAAGTGGTCCTCAATCAGCAGCTCTGGGGGTGGGGTCTGGCAATCTGAGTCTCAACAAACCTGCAGTGATCCCGACACATTTTTAAGTTTGAGAATTACTTTTCTACACCAATGATTTCCAAACTTGTTTTAGCTGTGGTAAGACATATATTTTAAATTTCCAAATGGAATTGTAGGCAGAAGCAAATATATAAAATAAGTGAAGGAGGAATTCCTGAGAAATCACTGGGGAGGAGGCAAGATCCCTGACTGCCGTATCCTCCTCCAAGGAAGCCCTGAAGTGCTTATGACTTCTAGGAATAAAGCTTAAAAAGCATCACAATTTTTAATCCTCATGCCCATCCATCCACCCACTTACCCACCCACCCATCCTCATCCATCCATCCATCCATCCATCCATCCATCCATCCATCCACCAATCCATCCACCCATCTACCTACCCATCTGTCCATCCATCCATCCATCCATCCATCCATCCATCCATCTGTCCATCCATCCGTCCATCCATCCAACCATCCACCAATCCATCCACCCATCCATCTACCCATCCATCCATTCTTCCATCCATCCATCCATCCATCCACTGATCCATCCATCCATCCATCCATCCATCCATCTATATCTGTTGGGAGACCACCTATCTTATTCATTTCTGCAAGTCTTGCCAGAAGAGGCACTGATTGCCTTTTTTCCAGACTCTCTTTTCAAGATGTTTGTATAACAGTTTTGAAAAATGGAAATAGTATCTCCCTTCAGAGCAAAAGGCAGGCATGCCTACTGTCCTGTATAATAAAGATACTGACTCCCAGGGTGCCTGGGTGGCTCAGTCAGTTGAGCTTCTGACTTTGGCAAAGGTCATGATCTCATGGTTCATGGGTTTGAGCCCCATGTCGGGCTCTGTGCTGACAGCTCAGAGCCTGGAACCTGCTTCCGATTCTATGTCTCCCTCTGTCTCTGACCCTCCTCCCTCAAAAATAAACATTAAAAAATTAAAAAAAAAAAAAAGACACTGACTTCCTCAAGAGCAAAGGGCAGGTTTGCTTACTCCCATTATAAATAATTCAGTTTCTCTAAATGTGAGATTCCTCTCCTGTTGTCCAAACCACAACACCTGGTCCTCTTTGTGTTGCCCTGTGGGAACTGGGGTTTGGGCTACTGACACAAATGCTGATACCCTGGTTACTACTATTGCTAGGAGTAATGAAATCCCATGTCTCTGACCCAGGAGTCTCATGTCTCCTGCCAGCATCCATAAAACCGTGGCAGCGTTGTGTGTTGGCTACTTCATGGCATAGAAAAGAAACTTAAGATACTGCCCTGGCCTTGAAAGGCTTATGGCTGGGTTGCCAAGGAGAAGCATAAAGACTCATCAAGAGCTTTAGCCATGCTGTAGGGCAGGAAGTGGGAGCTTTGGAGCCGAGTGAGAAGTATGGACAGAGGGGATAGCAGGGTGTTCAGAGAAAGCTGTGTCTGGGGGTCCACAGGGAAGGGTCTGGACGCTTTGGCCTTTCACTGGATGTGATGTCAATGCTCTTCTGGCCCTCCCACTGTCCCAGTGCTGATCAGTTTGCTCTGTATTCATTGTCCTCTGACTCTGCGTCTCCATCGGATCCAGTGCTCCTTGGGGGCAGGGATCCTGTTTTTTTCATGTCTTGGGCCCCAGCGCTCCACCTAGTGTTTGGCACACAGTAGGTGTTTAATAGTATTTTGCTGACTCACAGGACTTTTAGATAATATTAATGATGACAATAACAAGAAGTATGATGGTGGTAAATACTTGGATAGACACGTAGTAGCATGTGAGCACTCATAACATGGCAGGCACTTCCTACACCTTACCTCTTGCTCACTTGCTAAGTGGAGGAGCCAGGATTTGAACCCAGAAAGACTGGCTCCAGGGTCTGTGCAATGAAACCCCTACATGTTGGTTGCTGATACTGAGGAGGAAGTGGGTAAAGGAAGCAGCTCAGGGTACAGCAAGGTAGGGTAGCAAGTGACAAATAAGTAAGCATCACTTCTTGGAGATCGCCATGGTTACCATTTCTTGAGCACTTACTGTGGGCCATGCTAATCCTTCTTAATCTTCACAGCCACCTTGCAGCTGGGTATCATTGACCTTCTTTGGGGAGAAACAGAGGCACAGAGAGGTAGAATGACTTGCTCAAGGACACATAGCTAAGTAGTGGCAGCTCCGGAACTTGAACCCAGATCTATTGGACTCCAAAGCCCACCAATCTTAAGGGGGGAATTTTGGTTGAAGTGAAGCCCTGGAGGGTTATAGTGACCTCAGGGCAAGGGGGTTCATTGGCTGAAGCTTGGGACAAGGCTGGGCTGACCCACACCTGGAGCCAAAGAGAAGACAGGTAAACAAGATGAATGAGACAAACAGTGACCCTTCTTGAATTTTCTAGCCCAGAGTATCCCACCAGCTGACATTATGAAAGAAAGAGAGTGGGCATGGAACCAGACAAGACAGGGCCAAATCGAAGCTCTGCCTCTTGCTTGCTGTGCGACCTTGAGCAAGTTACCTAGCCTCTCTGAGCCCCAGTATCTACCTGTCTTTCAAAAGCTTTGAAAATCATATTAATAAATAGCTACAAGGCACCTGGCATGTAGTAGGCACCCAACCAACGTCCATTATTGATTCATTCAATAAACAATTACTGTAGCACCTTCCAGCAGTGCCCCACCTGTATCTTCTTGGCATCTACAATTCTCACACATACTGATCCAAACTCTAGCTTGAAGCACCTTTCCTCTTTTGCAGAAGAAATGTCGGGGGGGTGGGGATTAGCATACTCTCCCCGCCTCCCGCCCGCTTTAGAGTGCTTTCAACCACTGCCCGACAGGAGTTGGGACATAAGTCCCCTTGAGTAAGGTAACTCTGAGATGTGTGGTCTACACTGGTTCCTAAGCCTCCCCTGCGGGATTAAGCTCTGATTTCCCACTGTGGTAACTTGCATGATAACACATATTTTTCTGGGATCACCTCCCAAAGAAATCCCTTGCACTCCAACCCTAGTCTCAATCTCCCAACTAAAAGTAAAAGAAGACATTGACTGAGCGACTATGTGCCACATTCCATCCTGTGCCTGGATTAATGATTAACCAGACAGACATGGTCCCTGCTGTCCATTTAGAATCTGTAGTTAGGCCAGGAGAGGAAACAGACAGTGAAGAATTAACTGTGGTCAGTATAGGAGTCTCTTACCCATCTCTCTTCACTTGCCCTTGGGGAATGGTAAGGTCTCTCTCTCTCTCTGTCTCTCTCTGTCTCTCTCTCTCTCAGAATACACCCAAGTTCTGTCCAGAATTGTAGTTGTTTTTTCTTGACCACCCCATGAATAAGCATTTTGAAGCCAGAATCCACATCTTATTGTTCAAATTTTTTTTCCCCTTGCAAAATCCCTGGCCCAGTGCTTGGCATGTGTTCATCTGATAAATATTCAGTGAGCACTAACTGTGTGTTCTAGGCTGCGGGGACATAAGAGTGAGCAAAGCAGAGTCAGTCTTGGCCCTCAAGAAGCTGACGCTCTGGTCTGGGAGACCGACCACAAAATAAGTAAAGACATAAACGACATACAAATCCGCAAAGAAGTAATACGATGTCAGACTGGGATAAATACTATGACAAAAACAGGGCAAGGGGCAGAGAGGGGACTGGGCCGGGGGTAATTGTAGGTAAGGTGGCAGAAAAGATCTCTTGGAGGATGTGCATACAGTTGGTGCTCAATAAAGGGCTGATGAATACAGGAAGTAAAACCTTTAGTTATGTAACCAATGAATAATAGCACAGAAGAGGATAGCATCTTCAGTGATGAGGGAGCATAAAGCAAGCTCAGGGCCAAGGAAGCATACTTGCCAGGCACACGCCACCCTCCCCCACCAACAAGAGGGATAGGTGTGTGACATCCCTCAGGCACTCCTGGCTGCCCCAAGAACAAAGGAAAGGGGAAAACAAATGGTTAACTGGTAAGAGATCACAGTCATTCGAGACACTGAGTCTCCATCAGTTTACAAATATCTTAGTAAATTAAAAAAAAAAAAAAAGCAATCTTATCAATAGCCTAATCTCCAGGCACTCGCTACTGTCTTAATGATAATACTTTGCTGGAGGGAAAAACAACCTTAGCTTGACAATAACTAGGCCTCCTGTGAGTCTTCTTTAGCATATGGAAATCCCTTTAAGAAACTTCCTCTTGGGGCTCCTGGGTGGCTCAGTCGGTTGACTTCAGCTCAGGTCACCATCTCAGGCTCAGGTCATGATCTCCCAGTTTGTGAGTTCGAGCCCGAGTCAGGCTCTGTGCTGCCGGCCCAGAGCCTGGAGCCTGCTTCAAATTCTGTGTCTCCCTCTCTCTCTGCTCCTCCCCCACTCCCTCCCCCCCCCTTTCAAAAATAAACAAACATTAAAAAAATTTTTTTTAAAAGAAACTTCCTCTTGACTTTACCTCCGCCAGCTCCATACTATATAACAGGACACTTTTCACAACCCCAGTGCAGCTCTTTCTGTCCACAGGTCCTGTCCCCATGCCTTAATAAAATCACCCTTTTTGCACCAAAGACATCTCAAGTATTCTTTCTTGGCCGTTGGCTCCAGACCCCACCATCCCTCTGAAACTTCATCATTCAGTATATAAAAGAAGGCTTTTCCAAGCCCTTCAAGGACTGCTAACCCCTCTCTGAGGTGATGCCACGAGAAAGGTATCCACGATTTCGTTCAGAAATCTGTTAGGTCCCCATGCACACAGTTCTTGGGCCAATGAACACCCTTGAGACGAAGGCAGCCATATTTGATCAATACTAGTAGGAGTCTTGCCAGAATCAATGAGGGGCCATCCGAGGTCTTGGGAAAATCCTCTGCCTCTGGAAAGCAAAGGTCTGCAGCAGATTCTGCACTAAGTCTCCTGACCGAGAAGTGGCTGAGGCCAGTGACAGCTAACACTGACTGCTTGCTCTGCTCTATGTACCTTCCTAGATGCATTATAAGAGCCACACCATTTAAGGCTCATAAAGACTCTGTTAGGAGGCTACTATTATGACCTTGTTTTCCAGGGGGGAGGAAAGGGAGGCTCAGAGAAGGCTAAGGAACGGCTCAAGGTCACACAATGACAAGGCAGGGTATCGTGGGCAATAATGGGAGGTGGTGGTGGTGGGAGCAGGAAGGAGGTCTACCCATCCTGGGACAAAGAAACTCCTATTCCATGGGTGTAACTTCCAAGCCGAAGTCTGGCGAAGATTGGAGTTGGCCCAGGGAAGGGAGGAGGGGAGCAGGGGAAGGGGGAGGAACTCCAGAAACATGCAAAGACCCAGAAGTGATGGCACATTCTGGAACCCCTTGGAGGCTGCATTTTGTCCAGTGCAGAATTAGCCCCTTGCCTAATTTTGTGTGGCTCAGGATTCAGCAGGAAGCAGGTCATGTGTCTGCAGCCAGAGTTCAATTCTGGGCTGCACCATACTTCCCAGAAATCTGTAAGCAGAGCGTGGGCACCTGCCACATGATTCTGGGTGATCCCCTAGTCCTCCTTTGGGTGGCAAGGTTATCCTTGTGCCCATCTCCCTCTGCCCAACAGAACAGAAGATCCTGGGGGCCAGTGACTGGGTCTCCATCATCTTGGGAGATAGAGGGATATTCATATTGGTTCATGGCATGGGCCTGGGGAGTCCACAGCTATGGGGGGGTTAGAGGTGACTGTAGCATCTGACGAGTTACTAGCATATCAGTAGCTGTAGCTGCTCACATCAAGCGCTCCTCATCACCTCACCAAGGCTGCAGCTGCCCCATCCAGGCCCATTGATGGGGCTCTAAGCTGCATTTATTTAGCAGCTTGATCAACTGTCACAGGTTTATAGTCTCAAAGGCTCCGAATGTGCCCCAACCCTCAAACTCTGTCTTTCCTTCTGTATGACCGCTCTCCAGTCTGAGCTGCCATCTTGCTCATCTAGGGCATCCCATCTACGGCTTCCCTGCCCACTGTAGTCCAGTCTCCCCATGCAGGTCAGAGACACCTTTCCAAAATGCAAATCTGACCATGCCGCCTCCTGAGCTGGAAACACTTCAACATCTCCAATGCCTTCTGGGTAAAGCCCACATTCTTTAGCATTCCTTGGTTCATTTATTCTTCCAACTTGCAAATGTTGATTGAGCACCAATGAGTGATCCTTCTGAGGTTTGATGAGACATTAGCTTCTCAACTGACTTGGTTTTATTTTCTTTTTGGTAGCAGTGAGTCTTGTGAGGACATCGCTTGTTTTTATTTTTATTCATTCATTCATTCATTCATTCATTCATTCACTTGTGTGGGCCCGGCCCTTGCATCCTTTGCGCCTCAATTTTCTTTGGGGAGCTCCCCTCCCCCTTCAGGTACAGTCCTGGAGTGTGGGTTCCTACCCCTGAGGGTCAGCTTTTCAGCTTTTTCTTGAAATCTTAGAGTTACCTGAATCCCTCCAGTACATTCTTGGTTTTGCTAGAGTTTTGCCAGAGTCATTTGGTGCCTGAAACCAAAGAGACCCTAATGGATGGCGCTACCTCTTATGTTCCAACCTGAAAGTCTCATGGGCTGCTGTTGGCTCCTTCAGGTCTATTCACCCCACTTCAGCATCTCTGTTTGGTTCCCCTGTAGGTTGATCCAATCAGCAGAGCCCCTTACCTCCAGCTTCTGGTTGGAATCAGCCAGTGGAAAGCATGGGCAGAACAGTGGGAGTTGGGAGGACAGTGAGGGTGGGTTTATTCCATTCTGGGTCCTTCCCTGTGGGCTGGGGGAACAGTGGCTATGTCCCTCTGTTAAAGGCAGCTCTTCCCACACAGCTCACCCTGCTGGCTGCTCCCTCCTCTTGCTCTGTGAGGATCCCCATGGTCCTGGTTCCTGTATGCGCCTTGTTGGTTTCTCTTGACCATGACCGCACCTTCATAAACAGACTCTTCATTAGTCTCTCTTTGATTACACAGTTTGAGTGTGCATCCCTCTCTTGCCAGGGCCCTGACTGATACAGGAGGAGTGTCTGCCATGAGCTGTACCTGCCTAGGATCCAGAGGAGATCGGAAGGAGTGGTGAGTTTCCCAGGATCTTGGGAAGTGGGAAGAGAATGGAGGTCTGAGAGAAGACAAAGAGAAGTCTCACCAAGTACCACCAAATAGGATTGCTAAGGAGAGCCCCAGCTAGAAAGAGCTCTGAGCTGTAGATTCTCCACTTCCTTGCTGTGTGCCTTTAGGGAAAAACCACTGCCTGTCTCTGGGCCTTATCTTCTCATCTGTGAAATGGGAATGGTAATAGAGCCTACCACATTAGTTGTGCCAGGGAGTCAATGACACCATGTTATTCATTCATTCATCATTCACTCACTCATTCATTCATTCATTCATTCATTCAACAAATATGTACTGGGCTCTACTATGTACCTGGTAATGTGCTAGGTGGTGGGGACACAGCAGTAAAGAGAACAGGTAACTGCTCTTATCCTCTGGGAACTGATAGCCTATGTGGGGAAAAGGACATAAACAAGGAACCACACAAATACTCAACTAGCCCTTCCCTGAAGGGTCCCATTTGGACTGAAAAGTCCTCTGTGAAGAAATGGCTAATGTTTGAGCTGAGTCTTGGAAGATGAAGATCAGCCGGTTGGAAAGGTGATCCGAGTGTCGATAACAGAACAGGTCAGTGATGAGGGTGGTTGCTGGAGGAAGCACGAGTGATGGGGGAAGAAGAAGACGAAGTGGGAGAGGTCACAGGGACCAGGCTAATCCAGCTTTGCACGCCTCAGTGAGGGTTTGCGTTTTATTCTGAGTGTGGGGGGTGATACGGATGGTCTGATATATGGTTTGAAGCACTACTGTGGCTGCTGTGTGAAGAAAAGACTAGAGAAGCAATAGGAATGAGGTCAGGGAGACCAGAAAGGGACTGTTTCAGTCACCCAAGTGACACATGACGGGGGCTTAGATGGGGGAGGTGGCAGGGAACTGAGGCAGAGATGGCTGGCTGGCTATTTCCATAGTGTAATGTTGTGGCTGGGAAGGAGCTGCCCAGCCAGAGACCACGTTTCCCAGGGGCCCTGCATCTAGATGGCATCACGTGACTGGTTCTCACCAATGCAAGTGGTGGCATCGCTTCTGGGCTCAAGTGGCTAGAAGCAGATGTGTCTTCCCTGCCTTCTCTTTTTCTGTCCATTGGTTGGAAGCGATGCCTTGAGGGTTGGTGGACTCATAAGATCGGAGCTCCCCGGGTCCCCGAATCATCATCTGGGTCCTTAACTAGACTTTACCTGATCTAAGAATACATTTCTATTCTATGGATTCCCCTGCGAGCATGGGGTCTATCTGTTAGAGCAGCTAGCAGTACTTTAACTACGCAGTGAACAGATCAGTTAGGAGAAAGAACCATCAGGGCTTGGCAAGGAATTGGCTGTTGTGGATGAGTGAGAAGGAGGTCAAGAACAACCTTGAAGTTTTAGCTTAAGCAACTACGGAGATGAAGTTGATATTTCCTGAGCTGGGAAGACGTGAGAGAGTCTTCTGTGTGTGTGTCGCGGGGGCAGGTAAAGAGCTGCATTTAGAACACGGATGTTTGCAGTCTGGGAGACATTCAAATGGCAATGTCAAGTACAAAGATATAAAGATTCAAAAGAGGTCTGAGCTGGTGACGTAATTTACGGATTTGTCTTGTAGACAGAATCTGAAGTGCATAGTAGGTACTTAATAAACCCTCTCTGAATCGGAACGTGAATCATTTCTTCTTTATTTCTAGCTAGCGTTTGGAAGTCCATGGGCACAAATCACCCAAAAGTGATGAACACCCCTCCCCAACCTGAGAGCAAGCCAAAGAACCATCCATTTCTTGCACTGCTCTCATGTGCCCATTGAAGAGGCTCTCTGAGCTCAGAGAAGTCTGAGAATCCAGGCATTCAAAGGCTGAATGAAGGTAATTCTGACGATGTTGGAAATTGCCTTCCTGACACATTGGGTAAAACACTCACTCATCTTTGAGGCACTGAAAACCACTTGAATCTCTGCCTTTTATTCCCTCAAGTGGCTTCACCTAATAGGCTGGGTTTTGAAAACAGAGTGTGAAAAAGGCAAGTCTGGGCTTCACCTGCCTCTGGATAAGGCCACTTGTCTCTCTCCCCAGGCTAAATGTCTTTTGCTCCATGGAGGCTTTGGAGGAGCCACGGCGGAGAGAAAGGGTTCTGGGCAGGCTTGGAGGCAATTTGACTAGGCAGAGACTCTTGGCAAAGCTGACACTTTCCCCCAATGCTCTCTACTCCCAGGATAGCAAACTTTGTCAAATGCCTGCAGGAACCAGCCAGTTAATGCATCATGACTCAGAAAAATGCATCGTGTGGGAACCTTGAAGAATGGGAGAGTACAGGTTTTATTTAAGGGGTGGATACAACATGGGTCCAGCCAATCATTTCTATGTGGAACATGCATCCATCATCACTAGGTCTCTCTGGCTTCCCAAGAGAAGCCTCAGATTCAGATTTTAGAAATCTACTGAGTTTTAAACGCTGGCAACGAATTACATCTAAAGAGTGATCTGTGGGCCAAAGAGCATGTACCTTGTGCATATGATCCCTGGGCTTGGAACCAGCTTGAAAGCCTCAGGGAGTTATGGAATGGGTGTGTGCCTCCTTCCTAAGAAATTTCCCAAAGGGCAAGAGATAGAATCATTTTGGAACTGTTACTGAACGAACACAAGTTCTTTGACTCAGCCACATACATTGTGAACCATAATTTGTGTGTCAACTTTCTATCCCCTCATTGGTGAGGTAAACATTGAAAGCTTATCAACAGGTGAGGAAAAGAGTGAGGACTGAGAGTCAGCTAGACTTAGAGCATGAGGGCTGTGTCTTCTTCACTGCTGAATCCTCAGGCCTGAGAAGGTGCACAGAAATATTGTTGAATAAAGTAATGAATGAAAGGGACTGGGTGGATAAAAGAGTAATAACCACAGAAGCAAGTTTGCATGCTTCAGGGTGTGGGAACCCTTGGTGAGTGGCCCAGCTGTCTCCCAAGACCCCCATTTTACTTCTGCTACATGTAAATTCTTTTACAGAGGACACCTATAGGATGCTGGTGCAACCTATGATGGTCTCCATGGAGGTGAACATGAACTTAGCGTTAACAAGGCGTATGTAGCTGACCTTCTCTCCCAGCTTGAATTTTCCCAAGATTTTAAGTCACAATTCCAGACTTCTCTACAAACAAAGCTGTCACTGACACCCCCAGGAAATGGTGCCAACCACATTCCCATTTAATGAGCAGCTACACTACATTCCAGACACTGTCCTAGGTGTTTGTAATGGGTTTTAGTAGCCTTTTGTAATGTGTCCTGGCCATGGTGGTGAGTACAGGACTAAGGTGTAGCCAATCATAGTACCTCATTCCCTTCTTCCAAAGCGATTGGCCTGCAGAGTGAGCATGTGACTAAGCAGGACCAATCAAGGGCTTTCCCTGGGACTGATACACTGTTACTAGGTGAAGGAAGCTCTCTCTCTCTGCTGAGGGTGGTTCTGTCCACGCCATCTGGAAGAGGCTCATCTGTGGGAGGAGAGACCGAGGGTTCCATTTTAAGAGAAGAAGAGACAAGCAGAGAACAGAGGGAATGAGGGACACGATACATTCCCTTTTGTCTGTCTGGAGTTGGGTTTCTGTCACTTGCAACCAAAAGAATCCTGACCGGGGCACCTGGGTGGCTCAGTTGGTTAAGCATCCAACTCGGCTCAGGTCCTGATCTCATGATTCATGAATTCCAGCCCCACAGTGGGATCTCTATTGTCAGCACAGAGATCTTCTTCAGATCATCTGCCTCCCCTGCCTCCCTACCGCTCTCCCTCTCTCTCTCTCTCTCTCTCAAAAATAAATAAACTTAAAAAAAAAAAAGAATCCTGACTGATACAGCCCTTTATATACCTTGTCGCTCTCAACAACCCTATGAAAATGGTATTAATAACCCTCATTTTGTAGATGAAATTGAGGCTCAGAGAGGTGAGAAGACTTGCCCAAAGCCACACAGCCAGTAGGAGGCAGTTTTGATGACTCCCAACCTGTTCTGTTTCCACTGTGCTACTCTGCCCGTCCTGACGAATCAGCTTTCCAAGTTGGAGCCGACCTTATAATTTCTATTGTGAGTGCAAGCATAAGTATCTTCTACTAAGAAATCCATCATTTCAGGGTTAGCAGCAACTTCAGAAGTCAGCTGGGGCTCTCTGGAAAGAGCAGCGGACTGGGAGTGAGAAGGCTTCCAGGGCAAGTTCTGTTTCTTACTAGTTGGAAACGTCACTTAACTTCTGTGAATCTGAATTTCCTCATCTGTGAGAAGGAGATAATACTCAGGATGCTAGTCAAGATACACGGGTGTTATGACAATTAAGAGACAAAGAATATGAAACTGTTTTAGAAATGTGAAGTCCTATACAAAGTAAGATACCAATGCTGTGGTTTACCCCCGTGAGACTGAGTCCTATCTCATTCTGTGCTTCAATATCCCCCCACACAGAGTGCTCACTGCCTCTTAAGGCAGCTCTTTCTGTCTTTGTTTCCATTCTTATTGTTATAAAAAAAATTCTCTCCCATTCTAAGTTGAAATATTTCCTTCTTGAACTTGATTGTTTTTAAAAAATTGTTTTAACATTTATTTATTGTTGAGAGACAGAGACAGACAGAGCATGAGCAGGGGAGGGGCAGAGAGAGAGGGAGACACAGCATCTGAAGCAGGCTCCAGACTCTCAGCTGTCAGCACAGCTGACGCGGGGCTCGAACCCACGAACTGCGAGATCATGACCCGAGCCGAAGTCGGACGCTCAACCAACTGAGCCACCCAGGTACCCCTATTAATTTGTTTTATGGGTTTCATTCATTCATTCATTCATTTCCTTCCTTCCTTCCTCCCTCCCTTCCTTCCTTCCCTTCCATCCATCCATCTACTGTAATAATATTGAAGATGGAGAATTAAGAAGATACAACCCCACGTTTATACTAGCTTCACCCCATCTATCCAATTCATTCTCCTCAGAGCAGTGAGAGTGATATTCTGACACACAAACATAATCAATCCTGCCATGCTTTTACTCCAAGCCCATCAGTGGCCCTCTGTTGTCCTCAAGATAGAATGAACTGCAGATCCCTATCTGATCCCTGCCCACCTC